TTTAATAATATTCTATTAGAATAAAATTCTAAAAGAGCATCATTCTAACAAAAAAATACTCTGATAGAATAAAATCAGTTATGTTTACAAATTACATTAGAATTAAAATTGAATTAATTAAAAGATTCAGATTTTTTTAAATTAGGAGAATTAATCATCCCTAAAAATCCGAAAATTTTATTTTATAAATGTAGTTAATTGTCCAAAATACCCTTTTGCTAAAAATTGTATGATTATATGGTACATGTTACCCCATTGTAATATCATACACTCTCAAATCATGTCCATTGATTAATTTCATCCGGTGGTCCAGATCTATGCATTCTGGCACACAATACTTAGTAAAAACAAAATAACCTAAGCCTATATATATATATATATATATATATATATATATATATATATATATATATATATATATATATATAGAGAGAGAGAGAGAGAGAGAGATGTTCCATTGAGATTCTAAACAAAATAGAGATTACACAGCGCCACCCATTCCTTTTTCCCCCAACACCACAACCGTCACCGTCACCTCCACCACCACTTCCTTCACAAACAATAGACCCCACCACTTCTACCTTCGTCACATCTACCACCGCCACATTACCCATCACCATCTCTCTCCACCAACCACCATAATCATATATGATTAATCACTTCATGAACATGTATATATCGATAATCATTTATGGTTAGAAATATATTTATAAACATGTATAAGCATATATGATTATACCTCTTCGCCATATAATCATTTATGAGATTAGGCATATACATTACAAACTATATTCAACAAAAAAATGGTTCTCCAACTCATCTCTGGCCTCACCGAAGGTGAGTATGACATCGTCGCCACTATTATTCAACAAACAACCCCCTCCCTAGCTTCAACAAAGCCAAATCATCTCTCCTTCATAAAGAAGCTAGACGCAACAAACCTGATCACTCTATTCCCCAAGACCTTGTTACACAGCGGGCTCACCAAGATCCCAACGACATCTCTTCGGCATCCCAACAGCTACAATAGTCGTGGTCAATCCCGTGGAAACAATCGTGGCGGCGGCAGGTGGTCTCATGGCGGTAGAGGGCGCGGTCATGGCAATGGTCGATCTTCGTCTCAACAAGTTTCTTGGCAATGGCCAGGATGGTTCCCCCCTTACCCATGGGCCACTCCGCCTTGCCCGTATCTAATAGCTACTTCACAACCCGACATCATGGGTTTGCCCCAATTTTAGGTTGTTGACACCCCAACACTAGTCAACCCAAACCGAGCCACAAGTCCTCAGTAGTCGACCCAAACCGAGCCCCAAGTCCATTTCGTTGTTGATTAGCAACAAGACCAAAGCAACCCGATGACACCTATTGAGCTTGTTGTTGCCTTTCAATTCAGACCATGCAGACAACCCCTGGATAGCTCGTGGTACATGGACATAGGCTCGACATCCCATCTCACAAGGAAGCTAGTAACCTCTCAAACCTTTCTTGTTTCAATAATAACAATTATGTTCTTGTGGGTAATGGCACTCGGGTTCCCATTCTTGGTCATGGAAATGTAATCACATCCTAACTCAATCATCTTTTCAGATTAAACAACGTTTACCATGTACCTAAAATCATCAAAAACATTGTTTTTGTTAAGAAATTTAATCATGATAACAATACATCTATTGAATTTGACCCTTTTGGTTTTACTGTGAAGAATCTAATCACAAAGACTCATATCACCCGATGTGATAGCCCGTGCGACCTACCCACTAACACCAACACCTTCCCGCAAGCATTCTCCTGCTGTCTTCATACCATGTCTCCCAACATATGGCACAACCGTCTTGGTCATCCCGCAATTTCAAATTTCAACTATTTTAGCCCTTGTCTTTCATTACCTAGTAGTAAAAACACTTTGCTTTCTTGTAACGCTTGTTCATTGGGAAAACATTGTCGGTTACCTTTTAATGATTCCATTTATGTCACTCATTTACCATTTGATATTATACATGTAGACACTTGGACATCACCCATAACCAGCAAACTTAAAAACAAATACTATCTTATTTTACTTGATTTTTCGCATTACACCCAGACATTCCCTCTCAAAAATAAAATAAGTCTGAAACATTTCTTCTTCTCTTTCACTTTCAAAAATACATTAAGACTCAGTTTTCAACCACCATTAAGTCATTCCAATGTGACAATGGCCAAGAATTCAACAATACATCACTGAGTTTTTCACCGCCAAAGACATACAACTTTGGTTTGCATGTCCGTATACTTCTTCCCAAAATGGTAAAGCAGAACGCATAATCCGGACCCTCAATAATATGATCCAGACTTCCCTCATCCATGCGTCTCTCCCTCATTCGTTTTGGAACTATGCTATTCACACCTCCACCTACCTTATCAATATTCTCCCATCTCGAGAAATTAGGAATAAAACACCGGCTGAAATCCTATACCTACGAAAACCAACATACATACACTTACGAACCTTTGGTTGCCTATGCTACCCAAACGCCTCTTCCACCATACCACACAAACTAGCACCACATTCTCTTCCATGTGTGTTTCTCGGCTATTCCAATTTTACTAATTAACGAGTCACATACCACACAAACTAGCACCATATTCCCTTCCATGTGTGTTTCTCGGCTATTCTAATCTTACTAATTAACGAGTCACATACCACACAAACTAGCACCATATTCCCTTCCATGTGTGTTTCTCGGCTATTCTAATCTTACTAATTAACGAGTCAATTCATATGACTTCCTAGAAGAATCCGAACCCTCCCTTTACATAACTCACCGTCACCTTTTCCAACATGACTCCACCTATAACCAAGGCTCCTCTTCGGAAACCCCATCTCTCCTTCGGTAACTCAAACTAGCCCACCATCCCCATCCTCACCTACTCCTAACACGTCACCGCTAAATTCACCAACAACCCCACACTCTCCTCCACAAATAACCTCACCAACCCCACCCCCACCCTACCTTCTTACATGAACACTCGTTCCAAAAGTGGAATTGTAAAACCAAATACTAAATTCACCCGTCACACTCAAAACATTTTGCCTATACCACCAAACCCACAGGTTGCTCTTCATGACAAAAATTGGCTTGATGCTATGCAAACAGAATATAATGCTTTATTGAAATAAGAAACATGGGAGTTTGTACCAAGGCCAACAAATCACAATATTATTCATTGTCATTGATTATTTCGGCATAAATTCAAGGCTGATGGTACTTTGGAAAGATACAAGGAACGCCTTGTAGTAAATGGGAAAACACAGGAGGTTGGGATCGATTGTGAAGAAACCTTTAGTTTCGTTGACAAACCGAAATGTATTGTTCTCAGTCTTGCCCTGGGACGACAGTAGGACATCTATCAATTGAATGTTAAAAACGCATTCTTGCATGACCACTTGCAAGAAACGGTGTACATGCACAAACCACCAGGCTTCTTTGACACTAGACACCCTAACCACGTATGCAAATTGCACAAATATCTATATGGCTTGAAACAAGCACCTCGAGCTTGGTATCAACGATTTGCCTCTTATCTACTAATTATTGGTTTTGTGCACAACAAAAGTGACTTCTTCCTTCATCTACAAACAAGACACTAAAATCACATACCTGCTTTTTTATGTAGACAACATCGTCTTAACCACTTCCCCTCGGGTACCAAAGACTCACCTCATTTAGGCCTTACAAAGAGAATTTGACATGACTGATCTTAGCCCATTGTCTTACTTCTTGGGCATTGCTGTCACTCGCACCAATACTAGCATGTTTCTCTCCCAGCGAAAATACATTGATGACATCGTCACACGTGCAAACATGGAAGATTATAAGCCTGTAGCTACTCCAGTTGACACTAATTCTAAGCTCAGTCTTCATAAGGTGAACCGGAGACTGATCCCTCACTGTATGTGTATAAGAGTCTAGTTGGTACCCTTCAATACCTCACCTTCACATGTCTAAACATCGCATATGCCGTGCAACAAATTTGCTTGTTAGGCTCCCTCACCTCAATGCATTAAAACGCATCATTCGGTATCTAAAGGGAACTGGGTTGATGTTATATTCTTCACCTACAACACAATTAGTTTCTTATAGTGATGCCGACTGGGTGGATGCCACTCTTTCTCGTTCAAGCGTTGAAGCAAAATATCGTGGTGTCGCAAATGTTGTCGCCGAAGCTTGTTGGTTGTACAACCTGCTACTTGAGTTACACACCCCATTACGGCAAGCTACAATCTTCTATTACAATAATGTCTGTACCCTATACTTGTCCGCAAATCCTGTCCAACATCAGCATACAAAAGACATTGAAATGGATGTTCACTTTGTTCGCGAAAAGGTTGCTATTGGTCGAGTACGAGTCCTTCATGCCCCTTCCGCCTACAAATACACTGACACCTTCACTAAATGACTACCGCGACAACTGTTTTTAGACTTTCGAGTCAGCTTGAGCATCCAGCCTCCTCCCGCTCAAACTGTGGAGGACTCTTAGTCGATATATATGGAGCTGATTTCATTATATTTTTAATTATTGACATTATGTATTTGATAGTGTATATCCTTTCATTAGTTATAGGATTCCTTTGTGTATTTATATTGTCCGATGTTTAATGAGAAAGGGGAAGGAATCAATTCCAATATTCTTGACTAATGTCGTAGGGATGAGGTAATAAAAAATAAAAGGAAACCGCGAGATCTTAATGTAAACTAATTCAGTACGAAGATTCCAATTCAATTCAGTCATCCTCACTGATCTGATAAACAGACATTTGGTCTAGCTACTCCAGTTCTGGCCATTCAAGTTCAAAGAGTGGAAGAACTCTTATTCTTCGACTCTTGATTAGAAGTGCCAATTACTTTCTTTCTGTTTCCCAGACATGAAGCATCCTTCATAGAATCAGATAAAAGATTTAGGAAGTGCTGGATAGTTGCAAGGTATTCAGATGACTCGGTCTCAAAAAGAGATCTTTTCTAGAGGAATATGTCCTCTACATTGCAGACCTCATCCAACTCCTGAATAAATCACAAGTTGAACCATAACAAAATTCTGTTTTCAAGAAGGCGTTGACAACAATAAAGTTAATGTGAAAACAATCTCTAAAATGAAAGTCCACTGATCTTCCGTCAATTTCTCTAAAAAAACAAATGTCCCTGGCTTGCCATATAATAAGGGAGATAGATGTAAGTCTGTAACTAATGAGAAAAACAAGTAGATTAAAAAAAAGTCTTTTTATGTATAGGCATCTTATAATTTGAAAGGAAAACTTGCAAAGTGAAATTTTCTCTGACTTTTTCCGTAAAAAGTATAACTGACTGCTTTGTTTTTCTTTCCTTCGTTGTATATGAGGATCCATCACTTTACAAGAACATTATCATTGTTTTTTTTTTAAAAGATATTAGCTTGTAAATCTGATAGCTACAACGTTAATTTGTTGGATAGAATAACTATTTAGAAATTAAATACGAAATCCAGATTCAAAGTAAGTTCCAAGATTTTTTTGGCAATGAATCGGAATCAGAATAAAAGAGTTGAAGGCTTGAAGCTTTCTTATGGCATGTTTTTGTGACATGAGGAAAAAGCCATACTCATAAGTGAGGAAAAATTAAACTCCTCAGTGTTATCTACCAATCATAATGTTAAATCACCTTCATTTGAGCTAAGTGAGAAGTAGGAAACTTATCAGCAAATTTAGATGCAGATGCAGATGCAGTTGCAGCTGCAGCTCCAGCCAAGTCCCCTGCCTGTTTGTTGTATATTTTTGTTTTGATAAAAGTGAGTTAATTTACAACACAAGGAAAATTTAAACTCTTTTGTTTAATCTAAGCATAATATTCAGTTACCTTTGTTGTTGCATCACTAAATTTAAATGTTGTGCCAGATTTCATTTTATTCACAAGCATGCTTGAAGTTTTATCCACAAAAGATGATTTTGACATCTCTGCGACCTTGTATATTTCCTCCTATTTGTATTTCATACACACCACAGCCAGATCAGCAAACCCCAGTTATTACACTAGTTAGAACCAGATTAGCATCAAATACCAAAAGTTAAACAAGATTATAATGGCTTGGTAAATCTTTTCACTTATGTAAATTCATGTAGTAATTGGAAAAGAAAACTTAAAAGACATTTCACAACTAAAGAAGAAAGATATTAGAGAGCAAATTTACCGATTGAGGACCATGGATGATGCATTGAACAGTTTTCAACTCTGTAAATGATGGATTCAACTGCTTAGGTCGACCTGTCTTTCTCCATCCTCGTACCTCTGTAACAATGTGACATAAGATGAGCTTACTTTACTTGCAGCATAAATCTAAGTACAAATGCCCATAATTAGCCTGACAAAAGGGACATACCTATGTTGTCAACGGTATCACCAACTAAAATTCTAAACCAATCAGGAGTTAGTCTACCAACCTCCATCAACTCATAAAAATCACGACGACAAAGATAGTATGCTCCTGTGCTTAGTTGGAATCCAGTCAAATCTCCTCCAAGAATTTCTACCCATCCCTTGTTATTTTCCAAGGTTTCCTCAGCTGCTTCATCATCAGCATAAACAAGGCTCACACCACATTCAGATACCTCCAATCCACTCATTACAACAATAGAGACACTTACTTTATCTCCAACATTCAATGTGTTTCCAATTGGCCAATAGCTGAACCATATACCAACTTTACAAGAATCAGGTTTTCCAAAGACTTTGGGGTTGTACATCAAATCATCACCATTGGAAGTAGTGATTTTACAGAACCATGCAAAATCATCATCACCTGATATTGTATATCTTAGAGTTACATCAAGTCCTTTGAGCTTCCTATTCTTGGGACACACAGGCACCTCAAAGGACAAAGTTGATGATGCTGATACATACATAGGCTTCAGGTTTGGATTCTTGATGTCTGGCAGAGATGTGCTCATTATATCGAATTCATACAACATCTGTTCCACAAAACACTAGAAGTCAGTCTCATATAATCAGTTTTTAGGTGTTATGTCAATTTGCATGTGCGTGCTTATGCATGTGTTTGAGAGAGACACAAAACGTACATGGACACACCGAGTTCTGCCTTTGGTGAGCTCATCATCACCAACCAGGCAAACCTCCTGATTTTCATATTCTTTTAGCCACTTCATGTGTGCCAAATCATTCTCCTCAAGTTTGGTTAAAGGAACCAATTTAATAAAGCCTTCAATTTCAGACAAAGAAATACATCCTTCATAGCCAAACTCTTGCAATGTGAATCGGTGTTCTTGGAAAGTTATTATCTCCAATGACATACAGTAGTATACACACAGTTCTGCAAGCGTACTTGGGAGACATACAAGCCATTTAAGTCTTGAGCATAAACTCAAGTCAAGGACCCGAAGATGTTTTAGATGATCATAACAAGGTAGACACTCAAATAGACTATTGCCTAAATTCAAGTACTGCAAAGATATTTGAACACTGAAACTCAGAGTAAAAGAATCGGTACACTCAAGATTGCAGTCCTTGAGGAATAATCGGTGTAATGAATGTGGGAAGGAAAACGCATGTTGTTCTGCAACTCCTACTAACAACTTTTTACACCCTGTCATGTTTAGTAGTGCAAGACTTGTCAGGTCTCCAATGGTTTCAGAAACACGAACAAGACTGTGACAGTTCCAAAGAATCAAAGTCTCAAGCTGAGGAATCATCGACATGTTGCGGATTTCAAATAGATCATATGAGTCTTTAAGATTTAGAATCTGCAATGACTGAAGAACCTGTTGCAAAAGTAACATGATTTATGTAGCATTCAATGTCAACTTGACGAACATTAAAAACTGAGAATCTAGATGGATAAGAAACATAAAGAGGATATGGAATTTCCTACCATGGGCGGATCAAATACTTCCAATTTGCTGTAGCTCATATCTAAAGCCACCAAGTTTCCCATGAATAAGTCAGAGGGTATGGTTGTTAAAGGGAATCCAAGCCAGCAGAGCCATCGTAAATCTTCTGAAAAATTCTCGTAAGACCCGTTGAGATACACAAAATTTAAGTGGAGCAATTTTAGTTTATCCATCTCTTTAAGTGCATCTGTCTTGAGGTCTAGTGACTACAAAATTAGCGTAAAGAAGGATTGTAAGCTTACATCATATCCATAAATAAATTTACCAAAGATTTTCTAAGTACTACGATTCCATGTCTTGAGTAGCAATTGACAATTTCCATAGTGACTGAGGTATAATGAGGGGCGGATCAAGGTATTTTTCCAAGTGGGGCAAAAATATATGTCCAGCAGTAAGGGTCCCCAATTTACCAAAAAAACCGAACACAAAATATTTATATATGTTTCTTGTGGTATGTATCTATATTGTTATTGATAAATTCAGATGTTTTACTTCTTTATTCTTTCTTTGGGGAAAATTATAGAAAACCTTAAAAATCTTGTGTTTTCTTGGGGTAGGGGTAGGGGTGGGGGGCATACTTACCGGTGTTGGGTCGGCCCTGGTTATTATTAAATTATTGAATAAGAATATTGGAATTAGATAAATACACTGTAACAACCCATTTTTAGGGATAGAAATTTTATTTTAAAATAAGAAAAGAAATAGGTAAGATAAAAATAAAATAATAAATAATGTTATATAATTTGTTAATAATGACTATTGAAGTAATAATATTTGATTACTAGGAGAAATTGAGAAAAGGGGTTAAATGTGTCAACTTGATGAAAGATGAGTTTGACTAATTGATTTGACCAAATTAGATGATAAGGACCTAAATCTCACAAAGAATGGTGGAGAAGGACTATAAGTGGAACATTTGTGATTTCTAGATAGAAGTTGGAAGAAATGGTACCAAATAGTTAAACTATGTGTCATGAGGGACTAACTGAAACATAGATCTATAGTAGTGGAGTATATAAGGATGGGTGTTCTCTCCAAACGGAGAGGAAAACCCATGAGCAACTATTTGAAGCTTAAATGAGGGGTTAGAGTAGATTTGAGTGGAGAATCAAGCTAAGGCTTGGAAGCTTAGAGCCAACATCAAGTTTGGAATGTATAACTCTTCCCCTCTATCGATAAATGGCGATCTAGGGTATGGATTAGAATCCAACTCCAAGAATTGACCTTTCATTTGAGATTAGTAGTTGATTCTAGTGTTGTTGTAGCAATTAAACTCCTAAACTTTATACAATCTAACTCTAAATTTGGAACGAAGGTAGCCATGTAGCCTCGCCTCCTCCACTATGGCTCGACAACAACCAAAAGCGGATAGCTTATCCAGAATTAGCCATACCATTTGTCCCTTTAGGATGAAAGGTCGTATTTTAGAGTAATGGATTGGGTTGGGATAGTTGCATATGCATTGCATCATTAATTATAATTTAACCAACTCTTATATTTATATATTTTAAGTATTGTTATGGAAAATCATTCAATGTTTTTAAAAGGGGTTTTCCAAATGTTTTTTTTGGGAATCAAGACATAGGAGTTGGGTTATAGTCATTGCCAAATACCATTTCATAGCCAAATTCCGGTATTACTCACTAGGCTTTCCCGGCCTAATGCAGTCTTATGACATGTAATTGTAGATAAGGAAAAAACATAGAGTTAGCAAGCTTCGATATTTAAGAAGGCCATAACTTTTATGGTTTATTTATACCTTTGTGACGATATCGGATTTTTTAACTTTTAAATGAACGTTTGAGACCAAATTCCGCATTTGAATTTAATAATATTTAAAATGGTTTTTAAGAACTTATTGTTTCTTCTAGGCTTACAAGGGGTGTTTCATACTCAATAGATGTGGTCATTGTACCTGATGGATGATCTTTTTTACTAAGATATTTACAATTATATTATTAACTTAACATCAATTATGTTTTACACACACACACACACACACATATATATATATATATATATATATATATATATATATATATATATATATATATATCAATGTTGTAAAAATCGCTCGATGGTCGACTGGTGTTAGGGATTAAACGGTCTTGACAGGGATTAATCGAGGATTAATTGGGGACCATAGATTATTAATAAAATATTAAAATTAATCAAAGAATAATATAATTTAAAGAAAAATAAGTACTTCAAAATTAGAAAATAAGATAATTTGAAAATTGAAATTTTGAAAATACGAAAATATGAACATTTTGGAATAATAGTTGAAATTTTGAAAATTTTGGAGTTATTTTTTTTTTTTTTTTGAATTTGTTGACTTTTTTTTTTTTTTTTTACTTTTTTGACTTTTGTTGACCGATTAATCCCGCCAAGACTGATTAATCCTGCCAAACCCGATTAATCCCTAATTTCCGTCAAACACACTAATCTACGATTAATCCCAATTTCTGCAACCAATCGTAGATTAGTGTGTTTGAGGTTCTCCAATCTACTAGGATTAGTGTGTTTGACGGAAATTAGGGTATATATATATATATATATATATATATATATATATATATATATATAATATATATATATATAACCATTAGAATTTATCAGTTACGTGACACACGCATGTCAAGTGCCACTTATTCAAACATATTGGCGTGTTTGGTAAAACTACTTGGTTGGGTAAAAGTAACTAGCTTTTAAAAGTATAAAATTACATAAAAACCAAAAGCTAAACGCACCCCAAAACTACTTAAAGTAGCTTGTAGATGGTGAGTTTTTTTGTTTAAAATAAATGTTAAAAGCTCCTACTATCAAACAAAACCTTTTTCTTTTTTTGATTTTTCTTAAAAGTTAAAAGCTCTAAAAAAAACTTTGTGTCAAACACACTCTTAATATGTTATAACAAGTTTGTCCTTTAGACCAAAAAGGAAAAAAAAATACCTTCTTAACATAAACAAATTTCTTCATGGTTTTCATCTTCCGCTTTTACTTCTAGTTTTAAATATATACATGAAACAATATAACATCCAAAGTAGATGATTATTTATTTAAAATAATCAAATCTAAACCAAAATTAAAAATCAAAACCTAAAAGTTCAATTTTTAGTTATTCAATATTACCTTGAATGCAACCTTATCTTCCTTTAACAATTGCATGTCAAGTGCTAAACCTTCCATTGTTTCTGAACCCTAAAGGAAAAAAAAAACATATAGTTCAAATGAAATAGAATGGTGTGAAAGTAAAAGTAGGATTAAAAATACATATAAGAAGCTTCTTACCTCTCCCTTATGAAATATCTTATAAGAATCACTACTAAGCCAGACTCTACTACGTCTTGCAGGGAATTTTGGTGACTCTTGATGAACCAAACTTTTCCCCATTTCTTGAATCAATCGATGCATCATCAGTTTATTATTTGGTGAAACGGAAAGAAGGCATTTGTTGGATAGGGTTTTGATCCCAGATAATGCACAATAATCTAGCTCCAATATCTTTACCACATAATCCTTGTCTTTGCCAATAAAGAAACAAGCAATATGCAAAAATAATTCTTTCTCTAAGATAGATGGCAATGACTCGTAGCTCGTTTTAAGTACACTTTGGATTCGAGAATCAAAATCTTTATCCAAGAAATTCAATCGACTTTTCCAGTATAAAATGGTATTTTCATTAGATAGAGAAGAAGCCAACACTTCAACAGCGAGAGGATTTCCTTCACAATATTGTATTGCTTGTATTGCAAGCTCTTCGAAACCTTCCATGGGAACTTTGGAACCAAATGCATGACGACTTAAAAGCTCTAACGACTCATCCTCATTTAATAATTTTATTTTATACTCTTGACACCTAGAATATGTGGACTTGAACCAATTTTTTGTATTTTCCCTAATTGTAGTTATTATAATCTTGCTTTGTGCATTGATCGCTCCGGTTCCAAGTAAATCCACTAACTGACTTTGTTCAGCAATGTCATCAAGAACAATAAGCGTCCTTTTTGTTCTTAAGGCTTCCTCAATCTTACATGTACCCTGAGAAACACTGGGTATTTTTCTTTTCTTACCACCTAAAATATCGTTGAGAAGTTGTTCTTGTAGCTCAAGCAAATCATGGGATTCTTTACATCTTCGACCAATGTTTTCAACAAAACTCGTGTTTTCAAAATATCTCCAATTTGAATCGTAAATATACTTCGCCAGAGTTGTCTTGCCATTACCACCCATGCCACAAATTGCTAAAAATTCGACATCGGATTGATTTAACCACGAATTGATCTCCTCGTATCGAGTGGCCATCCCTATTAGATTGGGTGGAAGATGAACTTCTTTGCGATCCAGCTTATTGTAAATGGTGTCAACAATTTCCTTCAAAAAAATTGTTTCGGACCTGGAAGAACAACAGAAACATGAACAAGTTCATGAGATGAAATTTAGAGTTTCTTATATAAAAGTATAAAACTGAATGATAATATTCAGTAATTAAATGTAATCTACTACTAGTAGATATTTAAAGTTAATTTCTATTAATGTTTCCACGAAATATCAAAATTCAATCAAAACCTGATCAAAGTATTTAGATTGTTATAACAGAAGATTCTTCTAATTTAATTACAAATGCATTTGAAATACAAATTTAATCAAAATAAAACAAATATTGATAGATTAAACAAATTTATGTAAATTAGAAATTAACATAGAGAGAGAGAGAGGGGGGGGGGGGAATTAGGGGCAAGGTTATACAAGAAACTCATGTAGCTCTTGTCAACAGTCAAACTTGTAAAAGAGGAAATCATCAATTCCATATTCATTCTATTGTAATCACATATTCATTCCATAGTAATCATATCAATTCCATCATTTTCATTCACTTTTAACGGAATCACTTTTTCACCTTTCCAAACTTCTCTATCAAACAAGTACCGATTTATAGGTTATACCTTTAAAAGTGAAAACCAAAATTTGGCTAGAAATTAACAATAATATCCATCATATTATTGGATCAAACAACATCAATTAAATGTTATTTCAAAAATAGTTATATTACAAAAAAAGACAAGAAGGCATACCCGGACAGAACCATGCCCGCCAAATTAGCAACCTCTGTAAGAGCTTTCTTCCACGTGTTCACGTTGTGATCTGTCCACCTTGAAGAGCCTTTGACTTCAATTGTGAAAGATTTATTTTGTTTCCTCACATCAGAAGGATCAACATGATAAAAAACAGGTAGAACGAAATGATTCCCCTCCTTCCTTTGTTCAAGGATCAGAACAAGCTCGTCAAGGCACCAAGTGGAAGTTGCATAATTTTCTGACAATACAACGATTGAAGCCTTAGATTCTTTAATGGCTGTCTCGGTCTCCGGCTTCACTTCTTCACCTCTCCTAATTTCTTCGTTATCCCTAAAAGTACCGATTCCTGCTCCCCTTAATGTTTTGTAAAGATGATCGGTAAAAGAATGACGAGTATCTTCGCCCCTGAAGCTTAGGAAAACGTCATAGCTGCTAGCATTAGCGATAGAGGAAGAACTGGAAGCCATTGAAACTGGATCTACAGGATGGAAGATGAAGTCAACGACAAATTTTCAACTAAGCAAAATTATGCCCAGCTTATCTAAGATTATGGTTGTTTAAAACCTAATTGTCAAATTAGACTATTCCGATTTTTTAATTGTTTTTGGCAAAGCTCAATTATTAAAAAATTTCAACTTGGATAAATTTAAGAGTAAATTACAAGAATGGTCCCTATGATTTGGGGTAATTTGCATGTTTGGTCATAACTTATTTTTTTGATTCGGAAAATCTCTACTATTTGTTTTTGTTGCGCGTTTGGTCCTGTTTTACCTAAAAAAAACTATTTTTCCTTGATTTTTTAATTTATTTAAATAAACACCCTTCCAACCTCATTTCCACCTTACCTTACGTACCCCATCTTATTTAAATAAATTAAAAATTCAAGGACAAAATAGTCTTTTTAAATAAGACAGAAACCAAGTGTGCAACAAAAACAAATTGTAGAGACCTTCCGAGTTAAAAAAAAATAAGTTAGGGACCAAACGTGCAAATTACCCGAAACCATAAAGACCATTCATGTAATTTACTCTAAATTTAATGTGGATTTGGTCTTAACAAATTTGAAAAGACTTAGCTTCGTTTGATAGACATATTTTCAGGTCTAAACAGATCTTTCTGACTTAATGGATCAGAAAAACTATTTGATATGCATAAAAAAATAGGTATTTTCCGGTAAGATATATCTTTCCCAGAAAGTCCATAAACCACATTTTTCTGGCTAAATAGGCTACAAAAACAATTGTGCCCCAAACCCCGTCTGTTTTTTTCAAACATTGATTATCTTTGGAAATCAACAACCCTGTCATTCTCCACACAGACTCACACACACAGAGAGAGTTTTAATTTTTATTAAGAGAGAGAGAGAGTTTTAATTTTTAATTAATAAATTATTAAAGAAAATATAAAAAAAGTACAAAAATAAAAAATAATAAAAAAGGCAAAACAGTCTTATCAAATTCTCCAAAGACCAAAAACATAGAAAAATCTTAATTTTGAACTATCAATACAAGTCGAAAACTTTTTGCACCCATCCAAATTTTTTTAAATAAATTTTGAATAAAATACGAGGACCAATTTTACATTTTAAAACTACTTTCTTACTTTACATAACTGTCGTAAAAGACACAACTATCCTTAACTTACCCTTATGGCCTTATCATCATCGTGACAGCCTCCAGTACCCCACATCCTCCATCGTTGCGCTCATCGAATGTCGCCTCCCACAAGCTGCTGGTAGCTCGAATCTGTAATCCCCTTTTCTTCCACCATCTACAATTGTTTTAATACATTGGTTCCAACTTCTGGTGCTTCTCCAGCTGATCGATTCCATCGTTGCAATTGATTCGGAGCCTGCAAACAATTTCTGCAACAGGTAATAATACCGATTTTTTTTTTTTTTTTACTTTCCATCTGATCGATTTCCAAGCATATGATTTCTGATTTTGCATACTTATTTATGTGATTGATTGTCGAATCCGATTTCAAAGCTAATTTTGCATATTGATTGGTAATGATTTCTGATTTTGAGGAGGTTCCCCTCTAAATTCATACGGATGCAAAAGAAATAAAAATACAATTTTACCCTTCCCCTTTTACCTTCAGCAAATAAGGTTTGCGACCTCAATCATCTCAACGACTGCCTCATATTTTTCCTCTTTGCCTCTGAATTTTCCTTCATATGCGATTTCATCTTCTCAGCATCATTAGGTATTATCAATTTCATCTTCTTCTCTGTCATCTTCTAATTTTCTCAGCAAATAACTTTTTTTTTCAAATTGTTGCTGCGATTTCATTTATTTTTTGGACGGATTCTTTTGAGTTTTGACATTAGCGAATTGTGGATGTTACACAAAGCAATTATCACTGCTAATTGGGTAGATTTGTCAAAGTGTAATGCCTAATAAGAAAAAAAAATGAAAGTACATAGCCCATATTGGTGAAAAGAGTAAAGTAGATTATTATTTCCTGAATCTAGGCTCTACAATATTGAACATTTGAACTTCAGTTTTAAACAAAAAAAACAGGTAGATAGAAAAAAGAAAAGATGGTGTTTGCAACAGCCATAAGTTCATGTCCACATCTTCATTTCCCAAAGAGACTTTCTGCAACTCAAAAAAAGATCAGATGTTGTTCAACTATCTCATCATCAATCTCTACAACCTTTGACCTTAAAACTTATTGGTCAACTTTAAGAGAAGAAATTAATCAGAAGCTTGATGAAGCTATACCTGTCCAATACCCTAATCAAATCTATGAATCCATGCGTTACTCTGTTCTTGCAAAAGGAGCAAAAAGAGCACCACCAGTTATGTGTGTTGCCGCCTGTGAACTCCTTGGCGGCAACCGCCTTGCCGCCTTCCCCACCGCCTGTGCCCTTGAAATGGTACGTAAGTCTTCTTTTATTCTTTTGCTTATATTTTCCAATTCCTCTCATGCTTTTTCACTTTAATAAACATTACAATCAATTTAACCACCCAACTGTCCAAGGGCAATTTGGTCATATTTAAAAAACTAACAGCTGAAATGTTGGATCAAAGAAAATGAAACCGTGAGGATGAGGATTGCTGGTGCTAAATTTTTTAAACTTGGACTTAAAGTGCAAATTTCACTATACCATAAGGACCATTTCTCTAATTTACTCTATTAAATATAATATTTAATAATCTATTTTTAATAAGTTGTATAATTGTGACTGTTAGGTAATATTCACAGAGAATAAATAGTAAAGTTAGTTTATGTTGAACTTCATAATGAGTGTATAAATTGAATAAGAGTAAATTGCAAAATTGGTCCTTATGGTTTCCCAAAAAGTGCAGCTTGAGTCCTTTTCTTTTATACGGCAGTTAATTCAATGGACCAAATTTGAATGGAAGTTTTAGTTTTTGACTGACCATGTGAATGAAAAAAAAAATTGGACTCAAACTGCATTTTTTGGGATACCACATGGACCAATTTTGCAATTTACTCTTTGAATAAAGTTAGATAGAATAAATAATAAAGTTAGGTTATGTTGAACTTCATAATGAGTGTATAATTTGATTAAGAGTAAATTGCAAAATTGGTCCCTATAGTTTCCCAAAAAGTGCAGTTTGAGTCCTTTTCTTTTAGACGGCAGTTAACTCCATGGACCAAATTTGGATGAAAGTTTTAATTTTGGACTGACCATGTTAATGAAAAAAAAAATTGGACTCAAACTGCACTTCTTGGGATACCATATGGACTAATTTTGCAATTTATTCTTTGAATAAAGTTAGATAATTAAAACAAAATTTTATAGGTCCACGCGGCCTCTCTAATCCATGACGACTTACCATGCATGGATGACGACCCATCACGCCGTGGTCAACCCTCGAACCACACTGTCTTCGGTATGGACATGGCAATCCTGGCGGGAGACGCCCTATTCCCGCTAGGGTTCCGCCACATCGTCTCTCACACCCCCACCAACCTCGTCCCCCAAACCCAACTCCTCCACGTCATCACTGAAATCGCCCGAGCAGTGGGGTCCACTGGCATGGCTGCGGGTCAATTCGTTGACCTCGAGGGCCCACCAAACACCGTAGAATTCATCCACGAAAAGAAATACGGTGAGATGGGCGAGTGCTCGGCGGTTTGTGGCGGTTTACTGGCGGGCGGTGATGATGATGAGATCCAACGGTTGAGAAGGTACGGGCGGGCGGTGGGGATTTTGTATCAAGTAGTGGATGATGTTTTGGAGGCAAAAGTGAAAGGGGAGGAGAAGACTGGGAAGAGTTATGTGGCGGTTTATGGTGTTGATAGGGCGGTGGAAGTGGCGGAGGAGTTGCGGGCGGAGGCTAAGAGGGAGTTGGAGGGTTTTGAGAAGTATGGTGACAAGGTTTTACCATTATATAGTTTTGTTGATTATGCGGTTGATAGAGGGTTTAGTTTTGCTGATAAGGTTTGATTCTGTTAAATTTTGTAATTTCTGTCATGTTTTAGATATAGAGACTTTAGTTCTCTTATATATTTTAGTTTTGTTTGGAAACGGAAATAAAAAAGTATTTTAGTCAAAAAATGTGTTGTATTTGGATTACATTGTGATCTTTTTATTTTACTTAATGATAATATGTGCATAAAAGCAACCGTCGTCCTAGTTAAGTATACAAATATAATTTGGGTTACACTGTTTCATTTCGTTTCAGTGTAACAGATCATTTTATTTCTTATTCCATCTTTTTCGTAAGCCGAGCAGATTATTATTTAAGCTACTAGCGAAAAGGAAAATGTTTATTGTAAAAATATGAACAACAAAATCAAATATACACAATTACATATGAATACATATAGATTTATACAATATAACTATATTTGTTAAAGGGTTAATATCATAAAATAACTAATAATATTCAATTTGTTATTTGGGTCATTGATATGTTAGTTAATATACAATAGACCAATAAACAATTTTTTGTATTTTCGTTACCCTATTGGATTTCAGTGATGTACCTTTGGTTCTACGTTGCATTGTACGAGACGACTATATTAACAAAATTACTCTTGAAAATTCATTTCACTGGTATAATCACTAATATTAGGAAAATTTAAGTGTTTATTAAGCTATTAAATATAATTAAAAATAAATAACGTAAGAACAAATTAAATATTATTTGTTGTCATTTATGTTTTGATTTGTAAATGGCAACTAAGTGTAATTTGGTTAAAAATATGGAAAATTAAGTATCTTCCTACGTTTTGTTTTTACTTATCTTCCTACTCTAATAAAACAATGATATAGATCTTGTTTTAGGTTGAATGCACATTTAAGAGTTTTAAGTTTGTTTTGTTCCGTCTAAACTCATCAGTGTTATCAGAGCATTTGATTGTTTTCAAATGAATTTGCTATAATTGTTGGATTTGATCAAATTAAGGTTTACGGCAATTAAACTCTAAAAGACCTCAAATTTTGAAATAGGGTTAGGGTTTCTTGCTCCCTAAGTTTCGAAATTAAGGTAAGGATTTGAATCACTTTCCTTCCTCTCCAAGTTTTTTATTCGAAAATTAGGAGATTGATAGGTTTTTCAAATTTTGGTAATTATCATTTTATTTGCTTAAAAAGAGATAATTAAAATTGGATAAATCATATACCCATTTTTCCGCAAATTTAGGAGTAAGCATCAGGATTAAATTATTCGAAAAGTAGGAGATTGATAGGGTTTTCAATTTTTGGTAATTATCATTTTACTTACCTAAAAGAGATAATTAAAATTGGATAAATCTTATACCCATTTTATCGCAAATTTAGGAGTAAGCATTAGGATTAAAATATTTGATTAATTTAATTAAATAATCCTTTTATGATTTAATATATTTAAGTAAATGTTAATTAATAGATAAATATTAAATCATTTTTTTATTTTTAAATTATTATTTAATTTTCAAAATTTTAATAATAAACCTAGTATTATGAAAAATTTTAAAATACACTTTATACTATATGTAAAATTAAAAGTTTAATTATTACTATATCTATAAGACAAGTTAGTCGAACCACTAGTACAACTCATTCACAAAGCTAGTCTATGAAGGGATATAAGGAAATTGCCTATAAAATGGTAGTTGAATGAGTGTCTACTCTCACCCACTGCTTCTTTGATTAGTGGAGGGTCGTTAGCTGAACAAGTTTGATAGGACGATTAATTCTCATTAATAAGTATAATCCTATTAAAAGTAACTAAACCTCTTATAAAAAAATCTCAATCTTAGTTACATCTAAAAAATTGTGAATTTGTATACTAACCTATGAAATTGCACATTATACTTTATAGTAGTTAGTGGAGCGTGTGCGGTTAACTGATACACTAATAGTGACTATAAAAAGTAATAATGGGCATCTAGAAAATTATCGTTGATTAATGGAGTGTGTGTAGTTAACCGACACATTAATAAGTTGATAAATGACATCGAGAGTGTCAAACTAATTTACATGGTTATTCACATCTTTTTTGTGATCTTCGGTATCCCAGTTACAAATAGAAGAGCATAATCTAAAATTAATGGAGCGTGTGTAGTTAACCGACACATTAAGGAGCCTAGAACCTAGCATTTTTGGCCACTCATACCTTTAGAGAGCTAGGCTGAAATTCTTCCCTCATCCCTCCTCTCTCCATAATCTCCTTCTTGCTTGTGTTGTGTGTGAATCATTAGAGGCACAACGTTTGTGGTGCTTGCTTCCAAAAGATCAACAAGCGAATTTCTAGTTGTTTGCTATAACAACTAAAGGTATGTAACCCTAAACCTATTTCTTTAGTAATTTCAAAAATTACCTAGGGTTTCTAGGGTTCTTATTTTGATGTTTATAATTATATGTTCAATAGTGAAAACATAGATCTTGTTTTAGGTTGCATGCATACTTAAGAGTTTTAAGTTTATTTTGTTATGCCTAAAACCCATCAAACTTGACTTAAACCAATATGAAAGGTTAATTTAACGAAAGGGCATAAAGGAAACTAACCTCGATGACGAAATGGAAAATTTTGGTCTTTACAAAAAACCTCCACTCTGTTTACCATATTTTCATAGTGAAAGCAAGATTAACACAACTGATAGAGGTTTAATCAATAGATAGGAAGTTATTCAATTTCTAAAGCATAATTTACAAATAGATCAAAATAGAATGAAGCAAAATACAAACAAGCATAGGACGGATAGGGTGTTTGAAGTGGGAGACCTGGTATACCTTAAGTTGCAACCATATAGGTAATCAACACTTGAGCTTGGATCCAACCAAAAGTGAAACATCCCAAAAATACGATCCGGAAATTTCATTTTTAATATAACCAAAAATCATAAAACTGAGTATCACATAATAAAACCATACGTTGCGTATCTCAAACCATACTAAAATACTGTGAGAAAAACTATGTCACAACTATATCAAAACATATCTAAGAAACTGAATCAACTCCCAGGACAAAACTGAAGTTGTGGTGTGTGCGATGCCATCATCCCGAGCTCTTCCATTTACTTGCGGAAGTACCTGAAACCAAAAACTGAAACCGTAAGCACGAAGCTTAGTGAGCTCCCCCAAACTACCACATACCACACAATAACAAATAAAGCACATATTGGGCCTTGCCCACTGCATCGGACCGAAGTCCGGAACTAGCTGCATCGGACCGAAGTCCGGAACTGACTGCATCAGACCGAAGTCCGGAACTAGCTGCATCAGACCGAAGTCCGGAACTGACTGGGACCTTGTCCCCTGCATCGGACCGGAGTCCGGAACTAACTGCATCGGACCGAAGTCCGGAACTGTCTGACCATAGCATAACATAAACAAGTATTTGCTAACATAACACATATACTGCATCGGACCAAAGTCTGGAACACATAACACAAAACATGCTTGAATCACAAAGACATCAAGCACTCTACTACTGCATCGGACTGAAGTCCGGAACTACTGCTAACTAAACGGGCCGACATTGTGGCCGTAGACCCGATCCTACTGGAAGGAAACTCACCTCGTGAACTGGCTGTTGTGTGTATGGCTCTCGAAGCTATCTGCTACTGCTCCGGTATCTCCCCGGCTACAATTCCATAAACACACTCAATCAAATACTAATCACTGTATTGGGGTAAAATGACGCTTTTACCCCTGGTCAAAGTCAACTCTCCCGATCAAAGTCAACCTACAGTTGACCTGACTCGCCGAGTTGGGCCGCCAACTCGCTGAGTCTCTATTCTCACTTCTCAACCCTACTCGTGGCTACTCGTCGAGTATGGCATCAACTCGACGAGTTCCCTTTCGATTCTAAAACTCAGGCAATCTGCATCCGACTCGCCGAGTCGTATGAACAACTCGACGAGTTGTTCTTGAGCTAAGAAGATTGTCTTGGACTCGCCGAGTTGTATGAACAACTCGTCGAGTCCCTCCATCACTGAGTCTGACCTCCAACTCACTGAGTCCACTCTACTACTCACTGGTCCCCACTCGTCATCACTCAAAAGGGGAAAAATCGGGGACTCACGACTCGACTCGCCGAGTCGTTCTTCCGACTCGCCGAGTCGCATGCATGCAGCTACTCTAAACTCGATTCTACTTGAATCCAGCGTATAAAACTTATAGATCTGGGCTCCCTTAGCTCGATTAACACGTAAAGAGTCTATCTTTACGTGCCCATAAGCATCCATGAAGATTATAAGGCTCAAAAAGCATAATAAAGGCTAGATCTAGGGTTCTCATGCAAAGCAACTTCAAAAAGGCAATAGATCAGGGCTCTACAACTCCTAAATGAATAGATCTAGGGAAATCTTGACCCATTAAGGCATCCATACAACTATGAAGCTTGAAAAATACATTAAACTAGCCCTAGAAGTGTTCTAATGGAGGTTTTAAGCATAAAACAGAATGATTCCGAGAAATACCTCAATGAACTCTGATTTTGACCTTGGATCTTTGCTCTACACCTCTTCTCTTTGGTCCTTTCTTCTTTTTCTTCTTCAAACCTTAAAGAATTCACACAAAGTCACTTTAATCAATCAAGGGTTGGCTTAGGGTTTCTCACAGGCTCTCTGAGGGTGAAGGAGGCGAGTTTGGGGCACATAACATTGCTTAAATAGTGAGCAAACCCAGGGATTTAGGGTTTCTTCCTGGCAGGTAGACTCGCCGAGTCGCCGACTTACACGTGCTCGAAATCCCGTCCCTACTCGACGAGTCGGGCTATAGACTCGATGAGTCCCTCTTGAAAACTTCTAAATAAATATCATGGAAGCAACATACCAGAGATGGGTCGTTACAATTCTCCCCCACTTGTCTCAGACTTCGTCCTCGAAGTCTGCTACGGCTGAATCTGCAAATAACTCCGGGTAGTGCTCTCTCATCTCCTCCTCAGCCTCCCACGTCCACTCAGACCCCTTCCGGTGCTGCCACTACACCTTCACTAACTGAATTACCTTGTTCCTCAAGGTCTTTGTCTTCCGGTCCAGAATCGCGACCGGCCTCTCAATATAATTCAGGCTGCTATCAACCTGAATATCTTCTAAGGGAACAACTGCTGACTCATCCACCAAACACTTCCTCAACTGAGACACATGGAAAGTGTTGTGGATCTGGCTAAGCTCTGCTGGAAGATCCAAC